AATCAACGAAATCAATCAATCAACGAAATCAATCAATCAACGAAATCAATCAGTCGATCAATCAATCAAATGAATCCATCAATCAATCAAGGTTTTCTCTATTGATTGATGAGCCTATTTTATTGAATGATTGATTGATTGATTGATTGATTGAGTGCTTTCCGAGGACAAACACATTACACACGAGAAACGACAAAATCATGTCCACACGTCGAGCAAATGTGGAAAGATGCGATTGAAAGATGAATAAAACATGGGACAAAGGTTACGTAACAAATATGCAGGGAAAAAAAATGAAAAAAAAAAAAGGAGGAGGTTCAAGTTTCGTTCAACAGTTCAAGCAACAACGAGAGAGAAAGAAACGTTATCCTCCCCCTATACGCGATGAGAGAGAAATAATTGCCATAACGAGATCCCAAGATCGAACGTGATGAGAGAGACTCTAAGATGATCACCATAACGAGAGCCCAAGACTGAATGCGATGAGAGAGAGAGAATCGTCATAACTAGAGGCCAAGACCGAACGCGATGGGAAAGAGAAAATCGCCATAACGAGAGGCCAAGACCAAACGTGATGAGAGAGAATTGCCATAACGACAGTCCAAGAACGAACGAGATGAGAAAGAGAGAATCGCCATAACGAGAGTCCAAGATCGAACGCAATGAGAGAGAGAGAATCGCCATAATGAGAGTCAAAGATCGAACGCGATGAGAGAAAGAGAATCGCCATAACAGTAGTCCAAGATCGAACGCGATGAGAAAGAGAGAATCGCCATAACAATAGCTCAAGATCGAACGTGATGAGAGAGAGAGAATCGCCATAACGAGAGAAAAAGATCGAACGCGATGAGAGAGATAGAATCACCATAATTAGAACTCAAGATCGAACATGATGAGAGAGAGAGAGAATCGCCATAACAAGAGCCCAAGATTGAATGCAACGAGAGAGAGAATCGCCAAAACGAGAGCCCAAGATTGAACGCGGTGAGAGAGAGAATCGCAACAGGAGCCCAAGATCGAACGCTATGAGAGAGAGAATCGCCATAACGAGAAGCCCAAGATCGAACGCGATGAGAGAGAGAGAGCGAATCGCCATAACGAGAGCCCAAGCCCGAACGAGATGAGAGAGAGAGAATTGCCATAACGAGTGCCCAAGACTGAACGCGATGAGAGAGAGAGAGAATCGCCATAACGAGAGTCCAATATTGAATGCGATGCGAGAGAGAGTATCGCCATAACAAGAGCCCAAGATCGAACGCGATGAGAGAGAGAGAATCGCCATAACAAGAGCCCAAGATCGAACGCGACGAGAGAGAGAGAATCGCCATAACGAGA